GTAGCGATACCCTAACCCTTGGGTGGTGCGCAGGCAGTGTCCCTAATAGCTTACCTGCGTCAGCCCAAGGGGCTGTGTGTCCAGCCGTGCATCATTCTAATGCCCTTCCGGTGTCCATGCGCGAGGCTACAATTGAGTTTTGAACCCGCAACCTCATACCACAATGCGCATTTCCAACAGGTGCTCTAACCACTGAGCTACATCAACTGGACAAGCCAAAACAATTTCAACTTGTACTGGTAGCTGGTAGTTTAAGGTGGGGATGGGTAGGGGTAGGTGCCCTACCCTGTCAGGACAATTATTGGCTGCGGCTGCCAGCAATCACCGCGGGTCTGGTCCTTGGCCTCTACAACACAGTGGGCTTTCAAAAAAAAAAAGAAGAAAAAAAAAAACGATTCGAGCTCTGAACGGGCTAGCACTCTATGAAAAGAATCTGGCTGCAATTAGGGCCAGATGAACGAATCAGGCTGAACAGGTCAGCTAGCACTTTCCAAAATGCATCTGACAGCAATTAGTGCCGGATGCAGACGAATGGGCCTGCACGCCCAGAGCTTTCCTTCACCCAACACTGCTGCTGCTACGAACCCAAAAGAAATCGGAATGCCTGCGGGCCTACCTCAGTTGGTAAGGCACAAAAGTTGCATTCAGGAGGTCGTGGGTTCAATCCCCATTGGCCTCACGTACGTGCCTTGTGACGAACCACTTTCTGTAACGCGCGATTTTCTGCGCGATTGCAACGAGGGGTCCTAAGCTGGGAAGATTGGGCCACTTCCGGGAAATCGGGATCGGTCGAAAATAGCATTAGTACCCTTCCTTCTTCGTCTTTTTCGTCACTTCTTCGGGGCTGGGTGTGTCCGGGGACGGCTGGTTGGGAGATTGGTCGGATGGATGTCTGGCGCGCCACCAAGCGCGCGATTAATAAATATTGACGTCGCTTCTTTCGTTTCGGGTTCGATCTTTTGGGCGCGAACATCGCACGGGAAATTGCTTCGAATTTTGTCGAGCCCCGATGGCTCTCGGAATTTTGGACCTTCTTTCTGAAATGAATGCTTTTTGCTTTTCCGCATTAGATAGGAATTTAGGAATTCAGTAATTAGGACTTTTTCTGCCGCGCTGCGCCTTTTGTCTACGCGCTTTTTCATGCGGCTGCAACGGTACTCTGATTAGTGGGCGCCCTTAATCGTGTGTGTAACTGCAATTTTGGGCGGGCGCCATTGTAACTGTATCTCTCTTCTTACACTTCGTCTCTCCCGCCCTCCCCTCTCCTTCTTTTGCTGAGATTTTGTAAGCCGCGGGTTGCATGCTCGGATCGATGCGTGGAGAAGGGTTACGTCCCCCACGCCGTGCCCGATCACGCAGAACGCAGGCGCTCCCTCTCTAATCTTCACTCTAAGTCTTGAAAGTTCCATGTTCTTCGCGCATGCATGCACGCTATAAATTTCGGCTGCGCGATTAGTCAGCTCTCTGAACCCGTTGTTGAAAGCTCGGGGTTGTGCGATCAGGAAGGGTCGGCACACGAGCAAAGTAAGAGGTGAGTAGAGTAGGAGTTGGGCGATCCGACGGGCTGGTGCCGAACGCGCGGGATTGACGTGGGCCACGACGGACTGTGGGCACGGGCGAATCCGACGGGTGCGGGAGGACTAAGCGGGGTGACAACTTCGTGGGTTGGTGCGTGGCGACGGACTGTCCGCATCGGAGAGAGAGGAAGAGAGAGTTGAGGTCGATGGACGTGGATTTGCCGTTTCCTTGTCTCTTCCCCCTCTTCATCTGTGTACATACATTTTGATTGCGGCTCCGGGTAGTTTGCCCGTTCTTATTTTCGTTTCGGCTTTCTGGGATTTGGGCTTGGGTTTTTGCCACATTGTCCTTGCTATGTCCGTCCCGATTGAATTATACATTTGATTATCGAATGTATGGATGTATGAATGGGTAGATGTGTGGACGTTATGCCTGTCTGTATATCTTTTTGTCGAGGATCCCTGTCCTTGCCTTTCGTTTGTGTCGAATCTTTGCCCACACCTGATGCAGTTGCAGATGGGATATGAATATGGTCTTGATAGCGATTTTGTCCTCGATTTTGCTTATCTCACGATGAGGGGTGTGATATGGTTGCATCTTGCAAAACAATTAAACCGCGAACGCCGCGCGAGAACACGTGTAAACGCGATCCGAGTCGCGCCCTTACACGCATTCCTGTGCGACGGCTCGCTCCCCTAAAACCCCTAAAAAGGAGTCACGGCGGAACCATCATCCCGTACGAGCACGCCAAGGCGTCACTCAGTCGGCCTGTCCCACACGTCCTCGTACGCAGTGACGGAAACCTGGCCCGCGCTATCCCACCGACAATAGCGCCATGACGCGATCTTGGAACTCAGACTCATCCTACGACCCGGACTATTTCACCCCTATAATAAACGAGCTCATAAGGACACCATACCCCTGTCACACGGAGAATCGATTATGTCCGCGGGAATTCCACTGTGCTACCACTAGCGACCCTCGGTGCTCCGATTTCCCTTCCCCCGACCACACCTACTACTTCACCCACCCAGGATTCGTTGAGATCACCACCAATTTCCCTCCCTTCCACCTTCTTCTCCCGTATCATCAACTCAGTGTCGTTCCATAGCCGGCCATAGCCCCCTATAGGCCTAATACGTTTTGCGTGAACTGCCGACGCAACGGCGCGCAGAACACTCTGGAATTTCGGAGGCCCAATTCAGGTACGCGGCGTCCTGCGCTGCGTGGCGGCCCCCGACGGCCTAACTTTTCAGGACCACCTCCGCCACGAAGGAATTTTTCCGCAACCCGTCGCCCACAGTGCCCCGGCCCCAGCGGACCATGAGTCCCTTGCGCGCGCTCGCCTAATTGCATTCATACCCTTAAGACTCCCCCACTTTCCCCAAAAATCCTTGGCACACCCCGTTTTGCACTTCCAGGCCCACACTCCACTCCGATCAGGAAGTCGCGCTGGGCGTGAGGTTGGGCGTCACAGCCTGGGCAAGCTTGGTGTTCTACCAGCTAGAGATAACCGTTGGCCCCCCAAGCCAGCATTGGCAGTACCTTGGTTGATGTTGTTGGTTGCTATGCAGCCACAATATTGGCCATTAGACACCGCCATGTGGGGTTTGGGGGGGGGTAGGGGCAGGTGCAGTGACTGGCCATTGCTTGGCGCTAGCACCGCCGATTTCCCCCATCGGCAATGCCTGCCCACCCCTCGTCACCGTGATGAGGGACTGGT